GTTTTAAAAAAAAAAAAAAAAAAAAAAAGTCTGGGTACCTGCGCAAAAGAAGTGAGTGTATCCTACCAAGGGCCTGGGCGGGTACCTTTGACCTGACAGTTGACTCAGACTTTTGACTTCCCAAGGGCAGTGTGTGGTCACACTGCCTGGCACAGGCCGAATTTGGCCTGCGTTGTCCGGGCTCGGTTTCGAGGGCCCAGACTGCTGCAGACATGGGTTACTGCATTATTGCATAAAGGATGCTGGACTTCTCGTCCACATCACACATATTACATCACTGATACAGATTCGTGCTTAGTCTTGATTCATAAATGATCATTCACATCACATCATTGCTAGGGTTTCCTGTTTAGATGTTGATAAATAGAGAACACATATATCACAGACATCACAGACATCACATACATCATATACATCATACATACATAACATCTTGTTAGGGTTTTCAGGATTGCTGTATATATACAGAGATCAGATGGATAGGGTTTCTCATCTTCTGACATGTATCGCTTGACGTGCATACATCGGTAGATGGAGCTGTCAATTCATCTCTGCACAGGGATGCTGGACCCCATTTCCAGCAGATACACTCACGTCATTGTACAAGGATGCGGGACCCGTTTTCCAGCAGATACATTTTCATCATTGTACAGGGACGCTGGACCTGATTTCCAGCAGGTGTAGATCGCCACCAAAGATGGAGCCTTCAACGCCGGGAGCTACTTACCGGGGATGCACTTATCACCTCGTAAGTAGGTTTCCCGTTTACGAAGTTTCTTTTAAACCACCACTACCTTTCCCATATGTCGGCCGCGGGCATCTAGTAGCCTACTCCTGAAAAATAGCTGCCACGCCGCCATCGATATTTTTCATCGACGGCGCGTGGCGGCCGAATTTGAAGTTCAGGCCCGCGGCCCCACATATGAGAAAGGTAGTGGTGGTTTAAAAAAAAATAATAAAAAAAATAGGGTTGAAAAAATGTAGGGTCAACGAGTTGGAATCCTGAGGGGGTCAGACTGGATAAATCATATATACAATAATGATGTAATGTTAGTGGTTATCCACTGCTCTTTGGGCATACTCGTACACGGGATTTTTCGACTGAGCGGCGGACATGATTGGGGTCAGGTGCATCCACGTCTGGCCGTAATTGTGGTGAAGGTGAATTTCGGGAAGTGCTAGTATGAGTACACCCTTTCCATTGTCAAAAACAAAGGCACAGGATGGTTGGCATGCGCAGAAGGGGTGCACCAATGAGGGAACCACCATGGGGGGTTGGCCCCGCTACGCTCTCTTTCACAATTTTCGAGAGTGGAGTGTGGCTCCACATACTCCAGACCGCTCCATTTTCAAAAATTGATGGAGAGTTTTTCACAGATGGCCTGTCTAGAGTTTGAGTCCCCAAGTTTCAAGTCCCTTCTGCGCATGCCAACCATCCTGTGGGACTCTCAAGAATCGAAGGTCCTCTTCGGGACCCTCCATTGCCAAAGTGAAATCCAGAGCTGTTTTTTTTTTTTTTTTTTTTTTTTTTTTTTTTTTTTTTTTTTTTTTTTAATTCCAGAGCTGTTTTTTTTTGTCTCTTTTTTTTCCCTTTTTTTTTTTTTGCCATTTTGTACTGAGAAAAATGGAAAAAAGAAGAACTGGGGCTAAGTCCCACAAGTCTCCCACTAAGGGGGTTTAGTCTTCCTTTCGAG